AGTGAGGCTCAGGATGCTGTGGTTCGATCCCCTCATCCTCAAGCCAAACTAGACCTGCCCTGAAGGCATCCTGAGCGGGCCGTGCCAAAAACCCCCCAAAAAACTCCTTCTTCCTTTTTGGGGCTGGGGAGATGGCTCAGTAGAATAAGTGCTTCCCTGGCAAGCACAAGGTTCCGCCATAAACAAACAAACAAACAAACAACAAAAAAAAGATGCTAGGAGTGGGTTTCACATAATTGGTTTCACACACACACACACACACACACACACACACACACACACACACACACACACACACCAGTCAGAGTAACTACCTGGGATGGATTTGTTAATTTGCTTGGTTTTAGTAATAATTTCTGTACATATATGTATTTCAAAACATGATGTTATACATATTAAATGTATAATAGAAACCATTTTAGTATGTTTTGATATTGTTGAATAAGTGCATTCCAACCAGGGTACTGCTAAAGTGATATATGAATATGTTGATTGCTGTGATTGTGCATATTTGCATGTTATATACATTAAAATATTGTAAAAGCATAATATTAAATTTTATTAAATGCAATTTTCTAATAGTCTTTCACAGATGGACAGTGTCATACAACTATTTTCAAAAATTACACTAAACAGAGAATGTTACTGTTAAGCAGTAACTCTTTCTTCTGCTACTCTGATTTTGCCTAATCTCAGTATTTCATGTAATTAGAATCATGTAATATTTGGTTTTTTTTCTGACTTATTTCACTTAATGCTGTTTTTCATTCATATGTAGCTTCTACCATTTTATGGCTGATAAATGCATTTGTACATGCATATATGTGTATATGTACACATACACACTCCTTTTTATTCATTTGTTGATGTGTCAATAAAAACCTTTGATTTTAATGAATAGTGTTGCATTGAACATAGATTTCGAGTGTTTGAGTAGCAGTTTCTATATGTTAGAGTCTATGGAGGAGTGAAACTGCAGAACTGCTGCAGTCATATGGTAATTGTGTTTAGTTTTTTCAAGGAATTGTCCAGCTGTTGTCTACCATTGCTATAGCATTGTACATTTCTTTTTTTCCTGTTTTTCTTTCCTCCCCTTACCATGGTATTAAGGGTTGGCTATTTTGCATTTCTATGTAGACAGGTTGTGATTTTGTTAAAAACTTGGTGATACTTATTTTTGTATTTTTTGTTGTAGCCACTCTAATAGGTATTAAGTTGTATCTCATTTTGATTCATGTTTCCTTAATGAGTAATGATAGCAGGTATTTTTTCATGTGCTTATTGGCAATTTGTAGAAGAATTTCTTCAAATCCTTTGAGTGTTTTCAAATTGGGTTGTCTTTTTTTGTTGAATTGTAGAAAAGTTCAATGTAGTACAGATAATAAATCTTTATTACATGTGTAACTTGCAAACAATCTCTCCCACTCGATAGGTTGCTTTGTCCCTTTCTTGGTTTTTGGTCTTTGGAGACAGAGTCTTGCTATGTAGTCCAGGATGGCCTTGAGTGGATTACATGGTCTAAGCTGACTGCAAACTTGGCATGATTCACTTGCTTTAGTGAGTGTGCTGGCTGCAGGCATTATAGGCATGCTCTAGTATTCTGGTTTCATCTCTTTGTTCTTTTCGTAATATCCTGTAATGGATAAAAGTTTTAAATTTTGATCAAGTCCATTTTATTTTTTCTTTTGTTATCCATGGTTTGAATGCCCAATCTTAAATTCCATTGTTAAATTTAAGGTTATGAAGATTTACCCCTTCTTGTAAGACTTTTGTGATTTTAGCTGTTATTCTTGGGTTCTTGACTCATTTTTAATTTCTGTACATTGTATGAGATGGGAAATCTACATTTTTTTCTTTCTGCATTAGGAAATACCCCTACATATGGGGTGGGGGGCATCACTATCTGTTGAAGAGAGTATTCTTTCCCTTTTGCATGGACTTGGGGTGAAATATCAATTGACTATAGATATGTGGGTTTATGTTTATTTATAATTCTATTCTTCGGGTATGCTGGTATGTCTGTCTGCCCGCCTGCCCTCCCTCCTTTCCCCCTCCCCCCTTCTCCCCTCCCCTTCCCTCCCTTCTCCTCCCCTCCCCTCTGTTCCCTTTCTTGTGGTAGCAGGGATTGGGAACTTGGGATCTTGCACTTGCCAGACAGGCAATTTTGCCGTTGAGCTATATCCCCAGCCCTATGTTTATTCTTATGCCAACACCATGCTGTTTTGATTATTGTAGCTTTGTAGAAGGTTTTGAAGTAGAAAGTGTGAAATATTTTGGTTTCATTCTTCTTTATTCAAGATTGTTATTTTGGTCCACTGTGAAAAATTGTATATTATTCTAAGTAATACTGACATTTTAGCAATCTTTCTACTTATAGACATATGATTTCTTTCCATTTTATGTTTTCTTTAATTTGCTTTTGTAAGTGTTTTATAGCTTTCAATATGTAGATCATGTGCTTCCTTAGTTAAGTTTATTCCTAGGTATTTTGTTCTTAGGTAGTATTTAAATTTTCTTAGTTCCTTTATTCTTTTTGGGTTTTTCTTGCTGACATAGAGAAACAAAAGTGAGTTTTTGTGTCATACTATGAACAAAAATGTTCTCAGTAATAAATTTAATGAAAGTTGTACAAAACTATAGAACATTACAGAGATTTATTTAAGGATAACTAAATTAAGAGATTTGCAGTATTTATGAATACACGATTCAGTGCTGTCATTTCCCCGCATTAATCTGTTGAGCTAGTACAATTCTAATTAAAATCCTACTAGGCTTATTTTGTATAGAAATTGGCAAACTGGTCTTAAAATTTATGTAAAAATATAAATGTTACATCAGCTAAGAATATTCCTGAAAGAATGAAATTTGAAGACCTATAAAACTGTTTTAAAAGTATTTTATACATTACAAATTAGAATAGAAATACATCTATATGTATAAATTGACATTTGAGAAAGGTAACTAGGCATTTCAATGCAGAAAGACAACCTTTACAAGAAAAAAACCCTGGATTTATTTGATATCCATCTACCTAACAGTGAACTTAGACCTTTATGTCATACCACCTAAAGGAACCTGCAGTGAGTCATCTACTTAAAAATAAGAACTAACGCTATGAAACTTCTCAGAGAAAACTGAAAATTGAGTGACATTAGGAAAAGATTATTTTTTGTATTTAGTAAAGGTCTACAAGGTCTGTAGGGTCTCACTATGTAGATCGGACTCATAGTGAACCGCCTATGTTCAGCCTTTCAAGGGCTGGGATTACAGGTACTCGCCACCATGCCCAATCTCAATTGCTGTATCAGTGCCCTGCAGGTGAGGCCAGCATAGCAGGCTGGGAATCAAACCTCTGACCCCTGCATCTGCTTAAGCAGGCACTTTAATCTGCTGAGCTATTTGGCCTGCCCTTGAAAAAGAGTTCTTAAGGTACAAAGAAAACATTATGTATTTGAGAAAATTGGTTAATTATGACTTCATTAAAATTTTTTGTTCTTCAAAATAAATTATTAAGAAAATGAAATCTAAAGGGTGGTAGAAAATACTAGATATATATTTTCAGAAACCAAAGATTTTGTTGAGACTGCGAGACAAATAGGCCAATAAAAACAGGTCTAAAAGATTTAGACACTTCATCAAAGAAGATAAATGAATAACCCCTAAGTAAATGAAAAAATCTTCAATATCTTTTGTCATTAGAGAAATAAAAATTAAAATTATGAGGTTAACAATTGTTAAAATTAAAAAGACTGACAAAAAAGAAAAAAGGCAATTTTTTTAAATTTATTTATTTATTTATTTA